AATTATTGATATTGAATTTGAAGAAGTTATAAATATTTCATAAGTAGTTAGACCAAGTAGATGAGTTTATAAAACCTATTATTATCTATATAATTAGTGCATCATTTAAAATTATTTATATATTCTGAAAGCTAACAAGTAGATTATTCTACACAATTAGCACCAAATATTACTATTGAGTTTTAGAAAAGTGTTAGTAAGTAGGCTAAGTTTAGATTAGCAATAATAAATGAAAGAGATATTAGACAAACAATAGGAGTAAAATGAATCAAGATTTAATATAGAAAAGGATCATGAAGATGTATTCATAATAATAAACAAGAATAGAGTATATCATAATATGATGTATATAAATAAGAAAGATAAAAAATACAATCACCCTAAAAGTAATATATAATAATATAAATACAACCATAGATGAATGAATATATATACAAAACTAATACTATGTATAACAATTCAATAAAAGACAATAAATAAGATTTACTCAAACAACCTTTATTTATAAAGGAGAAATACTCCAGATCTAATCTCTAAGTCTAACCTGTAAGCAAAACCTATTACTAACTAAACAATCCTTCAATGCCTTCCCTACCAATTAATATATACCATAAATGGAAGCAACGAAAATTGGTCAATTGTATGCTAAAATAGAAATAGCGTGAATCTGTCAATTATTGACTAAAGGACCACCTGATGTATGACAGTGAAATAAAGACTATGATAATCAAATTATGCGGGGTAATTCTAATAATAAGGATGATAATAATACATGATAAGAAAGGATATCTATACTAATAAGAAAATAATACATATAAGGAAATAATAATAAAGGATTAAAAATATGTAAATATCGAAACAACGGTTTTTGCGTTATAAAATTGTAGATGTGGGGTACGTAACATTATAGATGTGGCGTATACATAATGAGTCCGACGTATACGCAGTTACATGGATAATCGTTCCCACAAAAATTGGTTACCCTGTAGTTTTTTTACCAAGAATAAAACTGCATTGTAGTTTGGGTTAAATTAAAATAACGTCATGCTTAATTGTTAAATTTCACGAGGAGCATTTTAATTAGACCGCAGAAGGTAGTTTCTGAACTAAAATTTCGAGCTGGTCCGTTTTTTTTTTTGTAAAAAAGTGGCTTCATTGTTTACGTTGCACCACCTAATCTTGAAATTTGATTTGTCAAGACCACGGAGGTGAACAATTTGTTTGTGGGAGAGCTAGCGCTAGGGGCGTCTAATGTCACCACAGCGTTCCCGAAATGGAAATTTATTATAATTTCCTTTTCCTATTTAGTACTTTGATTTTGGGTCTGTAATACGGAAACAATAAGCCACATCTGTACGTACCAACTATTAAAGTTGGTTAACCAACGGAAAAAGTTAGGAATTAACTGAAGGAGTCAATAACTAACGGGTAGAGTTAATAGCTACTGAGAAAAAGTACCGAACTAAATGACGAAAAGTATTTATGCGATGCTGCCTGGCGCTTTAAAAGAAGAATAGATTGAACTACATCTTTTTTTCAATTTTAAAGATAGATAATATCCCTTTAGTGTCTCTAATAATCGTAGACCTAAATAACGATAATAGTATAGTATTAGTATTAACCAGTGTTATTTGTCCAGTGTTATTTGTACAATTAAATTCGTAGTCATACTTATCCTAATAAAGATCCGCTTCTCTTATGCGTTAAATATTGTTTCCTGCTATTAAATGTCTCTTGCTAATCATAATCCGATACTAATGAAGTAAATAAATCCACATTAATAATTATACTATTTATCAAATCCACGCATACAGTATATTTATCTCTTTGTCAACTACTTTTGCTGGATTTGTGACACAAATTACTATTTATACCAAAACGATAGTTAAATCACCCAAAATATATACATAATATATAAATAATGCCTAATGTTACTAAGATTACGTAACATGTCTATGGCGAAACAAATATGGAAACATCTTAACAAATATTATCGGTTTACTCCATATTACAATCTATTTTTAAACCTTTGATCAAAGATTTCTCAATTACTATCCAATCAAAGTTCTATAAAATTTATTTATTTTATTTTATATACCTATAGAATTAAATAAAGATTTTTAGAATTTATTTAGTATTCACCGGAGGCTAAATTTACCACAATATGTATTTAATTATTATTATATGATCTATAGAAAATTTTACTACAAATTTAAAGCTAAAATTAAACTTTGGAGTTAGGATCTGATGCTTAAATTAAGATAAAGGTTAGAGTTTTTAGGGTGCTGGACACTTTTACTTAGTATATCAAATACCGATTATCGAGAAACAACATAGGCGGTGAATTTCATTTCCAGTGAACGTTAAAATCGTCCAAATTTTTAATCAAATTTGATGGGAATAGAATTTAAGTTGATTTGGAATTTTTAAGGTTAGGGTTGGGATTTTTAGTGTAACTATTCCGTTCTAACCTAAGTGGATTCCGAACCCTATTATATACCATTCTTACTTACAACATAATCATTATTTCATTTAGTATTATTGTATATTCTTAATAATGATGTTTGTTTAACAAGTCTATCAAAAATAAAATATTAAAATTTACTATCCATACAAAGTGAAAAAGGTTCCGATCTCCGATTGATTATTTCTAGAAATTACACAAATCAAACATAAATAAACCTAAGAACGTGTCTAACGACTTTTTTTTTAATGCGCTGCTGTTGCAATTACCGTATCAATATGAAATTTTGCATAATAGTTTTCGCATTCTTATTCGCCTCTGTCATAAATGTTCAATCTTATGTAATTCAACGACAGGCTTCTGTTTCTGATGGATGCGCAAGAATTCATAACGAATTTATTACTAAAAAAACAAACATTTTTAGTTATGCTGATGTCAAGGACTGTTACAAAAGCTTCCCATTTGATAAAAATGTTGCTTCTAAGGTATGTATATAAAATATAATGTGCATAAAGTTATATGCAATGTATTCTGATCGACATACAATATATCCCAAAATTGCAGACAATTGATACTTTAACTGGTCTGCTCGGTGGATTCTATTCATTTTTGAATAAAGCAAATGAAAATCCACCAACCGGGTTTGACTTTAGATCAGTGGATATAATAGCTGAATTAAATCTTTTTAGAAATAAATCGTATACAACTCTACATGATTTTACCGTAACTATTTTATTTTAATTTTACTTTATTTCACAGCTATTACTTTATTCTATTGCTTATTTTTTACATATTATTTTATCTCAGATCGATGTCAAACATCTCATTTATGATTTAAAAGATGCGCACACGAAATATTCTTTTGTTTGTTTCTCATCATTTTTTTTTCATACAAATATGACATTTTATTCTGTTGTCAACAATGGAAAGCAGGTAACTTACATTATTATCTATTACTATTTAATTCTCATTTATTAATTGATAATGCGCTTTGACCCTTATTTTTGTTTTTTTTAGATAATTAAAGTTTACAAAGATCTTACTGACCAATCTAATAATGATTGCGAAGTAACTCATATTGATGGTCAAGATGCGTATCGAGTAATTTATGAATTTGCCAAAGACTCAGTTGTTTCATCAAAAGATCTTGGTGTGCGATTTAATATAGCTCTTGATCTTATTTATCAAGAAAGATCCTTTGCTTTTCGAAATGAAATACCAAAGAATTCGGATATCATTTATACACTTAAATGTAATAATACTAAAGAATTTGTTGTTAAAAGAAATTGGAATGCTTTTAGTACTAGTACTGTTTTAAATAAGTTTAATGATTCCAAAACTTATTTTGACAATATTTGCAATCCTACGAAAGAAAATAAACAACCAATATTATCCAGTCTCATGTTTCGAGAAATTGCAAAAACATTCGATGAAACAAATAGTAGAAAATTAACAGAACAAGAACAAAGTGTAACCATAATAAGAGTTATTGATGAATTTATTGGTTTTTATAAACAAGAAGACTTTGGTATCGTTAAAATATTTACTGAAAATCCCACTGTACTCAATACAGCTGTTCTTATCAACGTACTTCAAGGATTTAATGAGTTAGCAAATACAGGTGTTAAAAAGGTAATTAATAATCGTTTATGCATATTCATTTATTGTATATCTATTCATCTAAATTTATATATTAACATTTATTATTCATTAAAGGTTGTTCTTGATTTATCTGACAATTTGGGTGGAAGTGTTTTAATCGTCGTATTTATCAATTTACTTTTATTTCCTAACACTTTTCCGACCTTTGATTATGATATGCGAATTACTAAACAAATGAGACTTGCAGTTACTGAAGAATTTAGACTTGCAACTTCAAATACTATTTTCGATATAAAAGGCTATGTTAATGCAAATACTCATGCCAATTTTACAAGTGCTGATGACTTCTTCGGCAATAATGTTTATACACGTGGTGGAGTTGTGGGGAATTATTCGAATAAATATGTTTTAAGCGATATTGAAATTAATGAGATTCGTCAAATTATTAAACAAAATTTATCAACTCCCCTTCCTTGGAAACCTGAAGATTACATTATTTTAACTAATGGTTTATGTGGTTCTGCATGCTCCCATATCGCTCAACATGCTGCTGAATTTAATAATGTGACTACCGTTGCAGTTGGAGGGATTGCTAGCAACCCTTTATTATCTTATTCTACATTTCCTGGTGGTTCTGTTTGTAATTCAACTGTGATATTTAATTCCTTAGGCAAATTAAATTTATTAAATAATACTTTAATGCCTAAACCCTTTCCCTTGGGTGGAATGGATGTCACTTTAACTATTAATGAGAAGTATAGTAAAATAAAACCTGATGAAATCTTGGAATATGCATTTAGACCTGCTGATTTTAGAATATTTTATGATGAAAAAAATATTAGAAACATTTCTATTTTATGGTCTCAAGCTGCTGCTTTGATTGGGAAGAAAAGTAAAAATTAATTTTTATATTCTTTTTTACTAATTATTTATTCTAAGAAAAATTATAATTTCATTGAATAATTTTTTTAATTATTATGCATTTAAATTAGCAATGTTATGATATTATGTTATATTTAAATAAATAAATAAATCATTATTTATATTCTGTTATATTTAATTAAATAATCATTGTTAAGTTTACAATTAAACTAATATTGTACAATCGATAGCAATAATTCAGTATTGCTTTGCAAAATTAATAAACCGAAAAAAATTAGTCTACTGTGGAAATTAAGTAGATAAAATATCAGGAACTTAAGAATCGTAATATAACGGAGCGATGGCCTACTGAAAACCTCATCGTTATGAGTAACATATCTGCCATAATTAAAAAACAATTGGGCCAGTACACAGCAAAAAGGGACTTAGAGACATTTTTATCAAAGCTAAGATTTTTACTGGATTGTGTTTTTAAATATGTGAGTTATTTACCGTAAACTTTTTCTGACAAAAGTCTCAGACCCAAATCCTGGGTCTCAAGCCATAGCATGATTCCAAACCTGATTTTGGGTCTCAAATCCAGAGCCAGGGTCTCGAACCCGTACATATCCAAATGCTATCAGTGTAATGAATCAAACTATACATGTAGGAAAATATATGTCGCATTAGAAGTTACCACCTATCTGAAGTTGCTTTATCAAAAGTTGCAACTTTAGATATCTAAAATTGTAACTTCAGATAATAAGACCTAAAATTGTTATTTTAAATATTTAAAGTTGCTACCTAAAATTTTTAAATTGCTGTTTTAAATATTTAAAAAGTCACTTTGATATTTAAGGTTATTACTTTAAATATTTAAAGTTGTTACTTTAGATATCTGAAGCCATAGCTTCGAATATCTGAAGTAGTTTTCTATCTGAAATAGCAACTTTAGATATCTAAAGTCGCAATTTAAATATCTAAAGTTAGCAACTTCAAATATTTAAAATAATAACTTTAAATATTTAAATAATAACTTTAAATATCTAAAGTAGCAACTTCAGATATCTAAAGTAATAACTTTAAATATTTTAAAGTAGTAATTTCAGATATCTAAAATAGCAACTTCAGATATATAAAATAGCAACTTCAAATATCTAAAATAGAAATTTCAGATGTCTAAAATAGAAGCTTCAGGTATCTAAAATAATAACTTTAGATATCTAAAGTAGTAACTTCAGATACTATATCTAAAGTTGCAACTTTAGATATTTAAAGTAGTAACTTTAAATAAAAAGCCTCTTCAAATACAAGGGCCATTTATTTGAGATTATAACTTCAGATATTTAAAGTTGAATTTTAGATAGTAGCAACTTCAGATTTCTAAAGCTGCAACTTCAGATAGGTGGCAACTTCAAATGTAGCATATACATGCAAAGAAAAATTAAAAAAATTTTCGTAGTAGCATACATTATAGATATATACACCTTATAAATCAGGTGTATATGCGGTTACATGGATTAGAGGTTGGAACCGGGTTTAATAATACGTAATTTTGTGATATTTTAGAATTTATTCCAATTAAATTTTAATAAATTCTAAAGTATCCCAAAATTCATGTGATAAACCCGAATTATTAAAACCGGTTCCAACATCTAACATGGATAGTGCCACCGTAATGCCCGAAATGGAAATTTATTAAAATTTCACTATTTCCTATTCAGTATTTTTGATTTTTGGGTAATACGGAAACATCGGCTAAGAATTTCGGATGCGCCGTTAGCTACGAACTATTTAAGTTTATTATTAACTAGTAAAGAGTTTATAACTAAAAATTAACTAACGTAAGAAGTTAATAACTAGAGAAAGGAGTTAATAACTAACGGATAGCGTATTGGAAAAAGTATCGAACTAAGGAAAAGTAGTTATGAGATACTGCCTGGCACTTTAAAAGAATAGATTAAATTAATTTTTTTTTCAATTTTAAAAATAATAATATCACTTTAATGACTCTTATAGTCGTATAGTATTAGTATTAACCAGTGCTACTTGTACAATTATATTCGCAGTCATACTTATTCTAATAAAGATCCGATTCTCTTATGCATAAATGTTCCTCATAAAAACGTTATTAAATGTCCCTTACTAATAATAATCCGATCCTAATAAATTTAAATTAATAATAGTTGCTATAATATCAAATCCACGCACGTATGAATTCTGTGCCAGGTTTATGGCGCAGTTTTACAATTAAAAAAAAATTTTAAAGTTCATTGTAGTTAGGGTTAGCGTTTAGACTAAGGTTAAAGGTTAGGTAATTATATAGTAAAAACGCTTAAGGGAAACTTTTTGTTATAGCACTAAAGGTGGTTTTTTGTGCAGATTTTTGATTTTTGACAAAAACGAACGTTTGTTTCGGAATTTTCTGATCGTTTTACATTACATCGTGATCTTGAAATCTGATTTCACTTTTGTACTAATTCAATATATGAATGAATTACATTCTTTATCTCTATATATAGTAGCAACTAACCC